CTCATAGGCCCTGGGAAAGTCTCCTCCTCCAGGGCCTCCCAGGCACCTTGCTGACCCACCATGGGCACCTCCCTGCCCAGGTTGGGCCCACAGGCCCTAATTTGCTCAGCCTTGCTCTGAAGCACCTTCTAAGCTGCAAGGTACCTTGAAACAGACAAGCCTTCCTCACTGTGTATAATCAGTGCCTCAGACACTGGGACTTGGCAGTGGCCATGCCCTTGGCTCACTGAAAGCACGGTGTTACTGCTGCCTCAGGCACGTGGCCTGCCTCTCCCCTCATGGATTCTTTCCTCCCCAGGTGGTGGGCTCCTCCATGCCGCTCATTGGTGACCACCAGGATGAAGACAAGCAGCTCATCGTAGAGCTTGTGGTCAACAAGATGGCTCAGGCCCTGCCCCGGCAGCGACAACGGGATGCCTCCCCTGGCAGGGGCTCCCACAGCCAGGTCAGGCCCCTGGTGCTGAGCTAGTGGCTTGAGCTCGTGTGGGGAGGTCAGCCATGGCTGTGCCATGGAGTGGATGATGTGTAGACTTACAGCAGCACCTCTGCATACGTCTGGCTGCAATTGCCAATTGTTTAAAACATTGACAAGCAGCTGCTGCCCTGACTTCCCTTAGCACCTCCCTACCCCACCCCTGGAAAACGGTCCTCCACCCCACCATCCGGCGTACACTCAGCTGGCCACAAATGGGGCAACACCCAGCGCACAGGGAACCTGTGTCATCATTGGCTGATGCTCCACTGGCTGGTAACTATTTTTAACCTCTCCTGCTCCATTCCTCTGCCACAGACTCCGTCCCCAGGGGCCCTGCCCTTGGGCCGCCAGACCTCCCAGCAGCCTGCAGGGCCCCCGGCTCAGCAGCGACCCCCACCACAGGGTAAGCGAGACGCAGGCAGCCTCAGTCCCCTACCGCAGCCGGCCATCTCTCACCCGCTCACTCTCACGTGCTCTCTCTCTGTCCGCCAGGCGGCCCTCCACAGCCGGTCCCAGGCCCCCAGCGCCAGGGACCCCCATTGCAGCAGCGCCCGCCCCCACAGGGCCAGCAGCACCTTTCAGGCCTTGGACCCCCAGCTGGCAGCCCCCTGCCCCAGCGCCTTCCAAGTCCGACCTCAGCGCCCCAGCAGCCCGCGTCCCAGGCCGCGCCGCTGACCCAGGGTCAAGGCCGCCAGTCTCGGCCAGTGGCGGGAGGCCCTGGGGCGCCTCCAGCAGCTCGCCCGCCCGCCTCTCCGTCTCCCCAGCGCCAGGCTGGCCCCCCACAGGCTACCCGTCAGACATCCGTCTCCGGACCGGCTCCGCCAAAGGCCCCTGGGGCCCCACCAGGCGGGCAGCAGCGCCAGGGCCCGCCCCAGAAACCCCCAGGCCCAGCTGGCCCCACACGCCAGGCCAGCCAGGCGGGTCCTGTGCCCCGCACTGGGCCACCCACCACGCAGCAGCCTCGGCCCAGCGGCCCGGGCCCCGCTGGACGTCCCACCAAGCCACAGCTGGCCCAGAAACCCAGCCAGGACGTGCCACCACCCGCCACCGCCACTGCCGGGGGGCCTCCGCACCCCCAGCTCAAGTAAGGGAACCCCTACAGCAGCCCTTGCCTTGCTGCTCACAAAGCGGGCCCCTACCCCAGTAAAGCAGTCCTAGCTTTCATGCTCCTCAGACCCAGGTCCCATGCAGGGGTCCCCAAAAACTCTCTCCAGCCTGGGCCAAGCCCTTCCCCCAAGCTTTCGAGCCTCGGGGCCCACCAGAAGCTCCGCCTCCTCACCCCAGGAATTTGGTGCCAGAATCCCAGAGAAACTGCACTCAGTTCGAATTCCTCCTCATAGGCCCTGGGAAAGTCTCCTCCTCCAGGGCCTCCCAGGCACC